GGGTTTCCCATGTGGAGATAGTGCATACTGTTCCAAACTACCCCGGGATTGCAAGCCCAGAGTGATTTTGAGTGACCAAGGGAATTCTCAGGATGGAAAAGTGGAACGGTCACAGGCGCAGAAGGAAGTGAATGTGAACTGCTTCCATGCCCCATGTGTGCAAGATGAGAGCCTGAGCCTGCATCTCTCAGTGCCTGGGTTCCCACCCTCTAAGTGTGGCGGGTACATGTATTGAAAGGAAGTAGGAGGCACTTATATCCAAAAGGGACCCCCCTGGATTCACACATTGGTATCTGCAAAGCGCTCGAAGATAACCTGATCATCATAAAAAATACAATCTTCTCAAGCTCAACTGTGAACTCAACAGGTTGAAAAAGAAAAGAGAAAAAAAGTCAAATAATCAGGTTTTCCTTGCACTTCCGTGAGCTGAAAATCCAGTTTCATTGATCTCCTTTCCTCTTTTCTTTTCTTTTTCTATTTTGACAGACTTCCAGAATTAAAAGAGAAAATCCTCAACGGTCTTCTTCTAATTTAATAGAAATATCTTCAGGATAAGGCAAGTTTTACATGCCGGTGCACTGGAATGGCAGATGGCCTTGCCCAAATGGAAATCCTGCACACTCTTATGTTTGTGGAAAACCAGAACATATCTCAGGGGCCCTACTGGTATGGGGACTCCAGGACTGACAGGGTCCCCATGGGTCATCTGAAAAGTGAGGACTAGAAAAGGGTGATGGAGACTATAGAGTTTAAGACGTAGGAGGATCCGGAGCAGACATCTGGAATGCTCCCTCCTTTAACTGACAAGAAAATGCCGCCCAAAGAGGACACGTGAGTTGTCTAAGCTCCTTGGAACATGACTGCTGCAAGGTGCTTGGTCTCTTGATCCCCAGGCCAGCCTGCCAATCATTCTTCCAATAACCCGGCCCCTAAGCTGAGAGGCCACGCCTTCCCTCCCCACAGGAGCCATGACATGCACATCTGTTCTCATCCATGGCTCTCGTTGGTCTGCGACTTTCTACAAGGGATCCAGGAGGGTGTAGAATCGTTCCCACTCGAAGCAGACACTGTTGGTTGTTGGTTCCTCACTCCTTCCCTTCTGATTATCTGGCAATGCCAATGGCCCCTTGCTTCTTTCTGCCTGAGGTCTTTCTCTCACTATGGGAAGGATGGTTGGCCATCAGGTGCACTGGAGGGACCCTTAGCTGCTGGGAGACACAGAGCTGGTGTGTAAATACCCCAGCTCCTTCAATCCTTGAAGAGACTGTTCCAAGGGCAGCTCTACACAGTACCTTAGAGGACCCCCAAAGGGGCTGAGCCCCTATAGTCCTACAGTACTGACCCTCTCATGAGTGCATCTGTGCTTGTTGGTTTACCTGCCTTCTCTGTCTCCCTTCCCTGCTCCCTCACTCATGCTTCCTGGGTCACCTCCCACATCTACTGCCTGTATCCAGGTCCTTACCTCAGGATCTGCTCTAGGGAGACCCCATCTAGGTGACTGAAGAAGTCTTAGGGGATTGAGAGGACTAACGGCCCCTCTACTTGACAAGAAAGAACTCATCCTAGTGTCCACCGGGGCCACTCTGCACCCCAGCAAAACCACCTTCAGCCCTTCCCCACGTGCAGGGCGCACCTTGGAGTGGCCTGTCCCGGTGGTCAGCCCCAGCTCTCTCCCCAGGACAGACAAATCCCTTGACTCAAGAAAAAACCGACTTGTCCATCATATAAAAAGAGCAATAATTTGGTAAATTAATTGCAAATTTGCTTTCCCCGCTTGGTTGCCTTTCTCCTTTTATGTGGATAATTGAGAGCATATTATGTTAATTTGACAACAACAGAAGTTCAAAAAGAAAACTTAACCTTGTGAGCAGTGAGTTACCATTAGATGGGTGTGTCTGGACAACTCCACAAAGAACATGAAAGACAAACCCCTCGTGAAGCCAGCCAATGTCTGGATGCACAAATGGCTATTTTTGCTAATGAAATAGCTGTGCAGAGTTCCCCAACTTTAACCTTGAAAATGCGCATCCCTTGCTCCAGAGGCAGAATCTGCTTACGCAGAGACAATATTGCCAATGCGTTGCTGCTGATTTGGGGATGTAATTTAATCATCGGGAAGTTTCTTTGAGAAAAAGTGACTATACTTATGGAATAATCATCTCCCAACATTTAGATTCTTTTTCTCCAACCAGAATATCTACAATCTCATCAAAGCAAACACACTTCCGAACATGTGTAAATAGAGAAGTGGATCTGAAGACTCTCTTACTGCAAGGCACTCTGCCCTTCCTTGGCCTCTCTCGTCTTAAGTCACAGATGTCTCCTTGGAACTCTGCTCTATATACTATGGGGCAGAGAGGGGGTCTCTGATCCAGACCAGGGGGTTCATGTTAGGAAGGGTCCGGGTCTCAGGCTGAGGGTAGATCCAATGGATGATGTTTACGTTTGCTCCAGGTCTGAATTCAAACAGGTGGGGCTTGTTATAATCCCATGTGTGGATGGGTGGTGGCTTAGGGGAAGGTGGGCTTGCTATATTTCCATGTATGGATGGATGGTGGTTTACAGGGGACATGCTCTTGTTGTAATCCCATGTGGAGATAGGTGATGGTTTACAGGGTACATGAGCTTATTATAATCCCATGTGGGGATGGGTGGTGGCTTGGGGGAAGGTCGGCGTGTTACAATTCCACGTAGAGATGGACGGTGGTTTACAGGGGAGGTGGGCTTGTTATATATCCATGTAGGGATGGATGGTGGTTTATGGGGGAGGTGTGGGGATGGATGGTAGTATACAGGGAAGGTGAGCTTGTTATAATAATCCCACTTGGGGATGGATGGTGACTTAGGGGGAAGGAACACACAAGAAACAGAATTCCCAACCCCCTTGCAGAGCTGTGAAATGAAGTTGGCTCATTCCACAGAACTGAATCCACCCAGCTCCCCGGCAAGCAGAAAACGGGATATTCCCAAGAACACGCAACTGGTGAGAAAGGAGTCATCACCCAGGGATGGGGGTGATGAGGAGGAGGTGGATGGGAAGCAGGGGGAGTGCACGGCGTGACTGCCCTGAAATGAGAAGATGGGGAGCAGGATGGAGCTGGCTTCATAAAAGTAGGAGAATGAGAATCCACACAGGCATCCTCTAAGCTTGAGAAGTTTCCACTGGGGAGCAACTCAGGAAATACCCCCTGCTTTAGAAACAGAAATGCTTCCGAGTCCCCCAGCTTGAAGATTCCATTAGGGGGATTGGGTCCCCGTGGAAAGGAAGAGAGAACAGCAGACGCCTGAATACATGGCTCCAGGGAGCCTTCCAGGCTGTCAACGCAAGGGGCTGGGAAGATCCGTTCCCTTCCGCAGCCTCTCCCTCACTGGCTTGGCACTCCCTCTGCCTCCAAAGCCCAGCCCCCCACGTCCCATCTATACCCCTCTGGGCCCCATCCCAGAAAGACTGGTAAAACCCACGGGAGCTGTGGTGCCCCAGGTTTGCAGGAAGTGGGCAGTGGGGTGTACATGACCGGTAATGCCAGGAACAGTGTGCTCAGCCCTGGACAGAGGCCCCGAGAAAAAGGCTGGGAGGAATTTTCCCTCGATGTGCACCCCATTCCCCTTGGGGCAGGTCCTCAGACTCAGGGGACATTGCAAATAAAGAAAAACCTCTCCTGGGGCCCTACTTCTTGTGCAGGCTTAGCCTACGTACACTGGCAGTGGAAACTGGCCCTGTCTAAATGTGGCCATGCAGACCTGGGGCCTGGAAGTTAGGGTCACTCACTTTACCTTTGCTAGGCATTTAGGGATCCATCACAGTTTCCATAGGAACCCATGGTACGCACTCCCAGCTTCATACGAAGGGAATCAGGCAGCAGTCGTGGGCGCTGACCACCAGGAAATCTGACAACCTTCTTCACAATCGACATTTTCTCTTTGAAGCTTTTATCACGTCTTCTCAGACTCCGAATCTCTCACTTTTTACCTCTTTCCCAAAATAAGAGACAACCTAATGCCATGATGTGGTCTTTGGAGTCAGGGTCACTTGAAAAGGTGTTATGAGAAATACAGGAGGCAATGTTTCAACCAGCTAGGGTGATGCAATTGTCCTGTTGTGGAGGCCAGGGTTGTCCGATGGGCATTTCTGGCTTTCCGTTCCCTTGTTACACAGAGGACACTTTATTTATTTGGGGGTGTGAAGAACGGACTTGGGGCTTGAGATTGTGTCCTACCCCGAGTCCCCCAACAGGACCAGTTAGACAAGGGCGCAGGGATGGTCATGGAATTTAGAAGTTTACAAAACACACCCAAGCAAAGAAGCTTGGAAACACCGTTGAAATGGCAGGACCCTAAAGTCCAGCTCACGGACCACAAAACCAAGCAACACAAGCAAAAAGCAAAATCGGTCCTTCCCGTACCTCTCTCCCCACCAGGAGGCAAAGCGGAAGAACAGGCAAAAGCCTGTTGCAGCAAACACAGGTACAGCCCAAAAAGGTCAGCAGCATATAAAGATTCCACCTCCACGAATCCTGAGTCTCTTCATTACAAACTACCCCTTCACAGGATGAAAAGAACATGTTCAGATTTGCTGCAGGAAAGCTGGGTGTCAGTGTCTCCACATCTGGGATGGGGCATGATGACCTGCATACTCCGTGCCCAAGTACCCCCACCGCCACCGCCCCAGCCACAGTTCCCGTGGGCGGTTGTGGGGCCTAGACACCTCAAAGTCACTTGTCCAGAGAAACGGGCCCATGTCGCCTGACTCTCCCCCACCCGCCACAGTCATCCACCCAAATTGGAAGGTCCTTTTCCACTTGCATGTTTATGAATTGTTACTCACAGGACCCACCAAAGGGTAGATAGAAAAATGCAACGATCTGCCCAGGCAAACAGCCCAAGAAACAGGGTAAATGGCATTCCCTGAATGTCCTGTTGAGGCTTCCAACAGAGAGAAGAATGTCAGGGGGCGAGGGGGGTGTTGCGGAATGAGTTAACATAATGACTCAAAACTACACTAATGTTTCACAGCTTTTTTTTTTATTAGCAATACCAAGATAAGTTATTGAAGCATTTTTAGTATTATTTTACATTCCATTCATAAATGACCTAACTTGTAACTCAGCATACAGCACACTTAAAGATATAGTTTGACACTTATTCAGAAAGCTACAATTATTATAACTTACATGCCTTCATTACCAGGAACACCTTAATATATCTTCTAATTACTTCAACAATACTCTGTTCGAAAGCACACAATCACCCCGTACAAGTTTACACATTTTGCTTCAATCACCATTTTTAGGTTGTAGATGTCAAGGTGCTATTCACGGAAATTTTACTGTCATCTGCTCCTGGTTAATAGGACGACCTGACACAATATTAAACTAGCAATATTTCTGCTTAAATACTATGGAGAAAGAGAATTACTGCACTTTTCTGTATTCTTCTAAAGTGTTACAAAATACAGGACAATCAGACACAAGCAGTAATACCCACGAGACCATTGCAGGACCCACCTCTACACGCTCAGGTGAGCTGGTGGAACAGACCCCACCCCCAGCCAGGTTGCCCACAGGTGAAGGGATCTGTCATCCACCAGCAGTTGTCACTCAGGATTTATGACTTTGAGGGAGTTTTCTCTCCTGCTCAAGTTACTAAGCCTTTGCAATCCATGACTAATAGTGGAACATATGGGGTAATATTTTTAGCCTCTGATTCTCTGCTATATATACTGTAGGTTGGTGCGCCGTGTGTATACACATACCTATGCCAATAGTAATTATTTATTCAACACACATATGTGTATACATTCTTCTCTTGACTTTACACGATTAACAAGCTGCAGATAACCACCGAGGACCACGAACAGACAAGGGCAAGTCCAGATAGACCGACTAGGACAGGGAGTGTCACTTACCTGCAAGAAAATGTTCAGATTTATTAAATAATCCAGAAACCATCAGGGCTAGAGGCATTTGAAAGCAAGGGCAGGGCCACATTCCCTAATTGTTTAATGGAATGATGACAATAAAGTGGTATTTATAAAATTTGGTCCTTCTGTCTCTGGCTAAAGCAAGAATAGTCAACATGATTAGGGCAGGTTGGCAATTAGACGTAGAGGTGCTGTTGATCAGCACTAAGTAATAGGAGGTAATTACTGCTTATTTGAAACCTGGGCTTTGCACACAACATCTGAAATTAAAAAGAAAAAGAAAAAACCTGATGCCTTCAGCAGGTAAGATGTAGCCTGTGTCTAGATAGTTGTCAGTTTCAACCAGCGCTTTGATTCAGCAGTTAAAAAGGTAGACGCCAAAGCTTAGACCCAGGGTACCTGCACCCACTTAAGAATGGATGTGTTCACACCGTTCCTATTTCAGATGGCGGTGGCTGGGTCTGACTGGAGGGTTTACATTTCCTCAGTGATGTGGGTATCTTTTCCGACAACACTCTCTTCTCTCAATACTCTCTTCCTTCCTCCCAATCTTAAGTCATTACCAGGGGCGGGAAAAGATATATATATATATATCTTTTTTTTTTTTTTTAAACCAAAGAGGCTGATTGCCCTCTCCTCTCACCTAGGCTTGGTCCTGAGCAGTAGGATTCATGCAATCCAAAGAGAATATGGACATAGCAACTAAAATTAATGCTACCAGACTTCTCTCCTGATTCAGAGGCCCTGTTGATTCAGCCAGTAGCTTTTGGAGCCAAAAATATGCAGCAAAAGGAAAGGAACATAAACAAGGCTAAATGTCACCAGTGTTTGCCGACTTACAGACACCATCCATTTGTTTGTTCTGAAATGACGAGTGGACCATTTGGCAAATACAATGGTATTCACACAACAGTTCTGTCATCCTGCAGTGCAAACGACATCACGTCAGTGGCATTCCCATTTAATTTAAAAAGAGGGAAGGAGAACAGAAGAAGAATGCCTTTGGAGTTTGGAGAGAGCTGCCATCCAGAGAGGCTGCCACTCCATCAGACACAGTGCATACAGCAGGGCTCTGGAGGAGGGTTGGGGAGAACCTGCTCCAGGTGCTGGAGATCCCAGGGGACATTGCCTGTGTTTGTCCCTCCAGAGTCAAAGAGAAAAGCTCTGCAGCAGGTTGCAAGGCAGCCAGCAGGGGCAGAACAGGGCAGTGATTTGCATTAACTCACAAGGTTCTGCCCTTGGACTTCAAGGCAGGCCAAATGGTCCTCCCTCCTGGGGTCTAATGTCAGGCCCTGGACACACAGTATGAATGAGAGCAGGCCAGACGGTAGAGGTCAATAGCTAATCTGTAAATTATCCAGTTGGGCAAAGGAGGTGAACGCAAAGGTGTGCTTTATCCATAGTCTCTGAGGCCAATCCATGTAAGAATCAGCTCACAAAAAAGAAAAGGAAGAGGTATGAGAGCACATTTGTCTTTAAATAAAGTAAGGCGGCAGCAGAGACAAAAAGATCTTGCAGTGGCGATGCCCCAGGTCTCCCACACCCCCAAGCCAATTGCCTTCTTGTGCTAGCTGGGTACAGCCTGCACTCCCACACACTTGGCAGATTGGAATTTTGTGGTTGTCTTCCTGTGCCATTTCCCTACCTTCACCTCCCTTGTTCATCAGAACCAGCAGGTTGTAGACTCTTGCACAAGATGAAAAATGTACCAGTAACCGTAGACTGTGTATCACAGCCTATACTCAGGGTGTCTGAGCATCTGCGGCCCTCACTGTGTATTTCATACCCCAGCCATGGCCTCCTTACAGGTCTCTAACTGACTGCAGACCTTTGCCATTTCTTGGTCAAAGACTGAGGCGGGGCAGGACTCATTTCCTACCCCCAAGCACTTGCCTGGTATCAGTAACAGAATGGAGTAACCACTGGGATGGGAGGTCATCACAAAATTGCCAGAATCATCTTCAAAGCAAACTTCCCCACAAACCAAGAAAGAGCTATCAACCATGCGTCACGGCCGAAGTGAGGAAATGAAACGTGCCTCTTTAACACTGATGGAGGTAAGGTTGATGGCTGCCGTGCTTAAGGGACGATTGCGACCCGAAGATGTTTGCACACTGACATCATCTCCCTGCAACAGTTTCACATGGATGCTGAGCTCCGCAACGTCATGCAAGCTCAACTGAGAAGCACTGATCCAAACTCTTTTATCTCTATCATCTATTTCATCCCTATGCTTCCTTCCATCAGTGAGGAAACAGGCTTTCACAGAGCAAGCTGGCTTCAGAGACAACGCACAGCCTCTGCCTCCTTCCTCTTCTGTGTGTGCTGGCTGTGAGGGGGCAGCTCTGGGTTGCACTGTGCTGGGGTGTTCTCCTGGAAGTCTTTAATGTATATATACACAGAGGTGTGGTTTCCCAGAAACAAGGTACCAGCCCATCTGGGTCAACAAGTCCTCTACCTCTGGAAAGTCTCTCTCACGTCTCTGGCTTTGGCATTACCAGACCATGGATGGGGCCCTGCTGCTGATGATGAGAGGTTTCCCGTCACCATCTCACCGTCCAGTGGACTAACAGAGGACTAGTTTTTGCACGATACATTCCCTAGGGACACCAGAGCAGGTGTTGACCAACTAAGACCCTGTGGACCAATTCCAGTGCACCGCCTGTGTCAGTACCTAAAGTTCTAATAGAACGCAACCACAGCCGTCATTTTCCTATTGTCCACGGTGGCTGCGGTGCTACCTCCAAAGCAGAGTTGGGTTGTCACCACAGATACCCCATGGCCTGCGAGCCAATACTTTTATTCTTTGGCCCTTTAAGAAACTATCTGCTACCTGTTGCTTTAGACTGAGTAGCTGGTAAAACAGTAGGTATTGGCCAGGCATGGTGGCTCATGCCTATAATCCCAGCACTTTGGGAGGCTGAGGTGGGCGGATCACCTGAGGTCAGAAGTTCGAGACCAGCCTGACCAACGTGGTGAAACCCTGTCTCTACTAAAAATACAAAATTAGCCAGGTGTGGTGGCGCATGCCTGTAATCCCAGCTACTCGGGAGACTGAAGCAGGAGAATCACTTGAACCCAGGAGGCAGAAGTTGCAGTGAGCCAAGATCGTGCCCCTCCACTCCAGCCTGGGCAACAGAGCAAAACTCCACCTTCGAAAAAAAGGAAAAAAAAAAAAGGTAGACTGCCTATGCCAAGAATGCCATAAGGCTTAGGGAGAAGAGAAGTCACATTTTAAGAGAGGTCAGCTTTGGTTGTCCTGGTTCATTCATCACACATTTAAAAATATGTAAGTTGAAGAGGTTTCAGTGGGCCTGAATTCTTGGGTGTGGGTCCCAATCATTTCACTAGCGTGGAAGCCCAGAGTACCCTTATTCCATAGTCTTGGGTATAATTTGGGTTGGGGAAGCCAGTTGCCCAATAACCTGAGGATGATAAGCTAGAGATGTTAGCACGACTGCTGTTAATGGGCTTGCATTCTCCCTCACTTCCTCCCAGGCCCATTGGGTCACTAGGTCTGGTAGCCACTGCACATAGGGCTTTGTGCCCACGATCAACATGCTGATATTTATTTATTTCATGTTTATTTTAGAGAAGGGGTCTCGCTCTGTCACCCAGGCTTGAGTGCAATGTCACAATCCTAGCTCACAGCGGCCTTGAACTCCTGAGCTTAAGCGACGCCCCTCCCTCGGCCTCCCAGAGTGCTGGGATTACAGGTGTGAGCCGCAGTGCCTGCCCTCAGCCTGCTCACAGGTGCTCCCAGTTCAGCCAGGTTTCCCTGGGTGGCAGTCACTACAGAGCAGAGCTCCTTGGGGCAAAGGGAAGTGTGTTCTTTTCCCTGCTTTCCTGTTCATCTGTTACTCATTCTTCTCTGTCCTGCCTACCCCTGGGTCCACCAAAGGACACAGTGCAAAGCCTGCTTGGGAGACCTGACACACAACAACTCCATGCCCTGGCCGTCTCTCTTAGGTTTGAAAGGCAAGGAGTAAGGGTGATCTGGTTGCTATCCAAATCCACAAAATCCCGGATAAAACACACTCTTTAACCGCTCCGTGCAGCGGGCCCCATGGGTGCTGTGCAGACCAGCCTTGGTGCTGTGTGCACAGGGAAGCTTGCCCCTTCCAAGCCAAGTGCCGACCCAACAGTGCATTAGCGTTTCTCTAGCTCGACTGGGCTTGTCTGCCTTGCTTTGCCCATGGATGCAAACACTGCTCTGGCCTTCCTCTCTCTGCCTTTCAATACTCATGTGGAGCCTGTCCCATTACAAAACCAAGGTCAAACATTCCAATAAAACGAAGGGCACCTCCGAGTTCTCCCATAGCACTGGAGCACCCTTGTACGTTATGTTCTTTCACAGAATAAAGAAATGTGACTCGTTCCTGGAGACTGGAAGTCACCTCAAGAAACTAAGGATTTGATAGGAGTGGGATTTCCTATAATGAGATCAGACCCCTAGTGGGATCTGACCCACTGTGGAAACAAGGATGCCTGTCCTCTGGCTTAATCCAAGATGGCTTAACCTCTTCCTTGGGATTATTATAATATGTCTCTGACAGGCAGTGTGCTATCCTCTGTGGAAAGAGCTTTAGAAAATTCCCACTCAAGCTCTCGACACTGTCATATGCAACAGGCGTCTCCCCACCCAAATGGCTGGGTTGGCTTCTCCCTTCGATGGCTCTCCTTCTGCACCAGAGCTAGGAATCCACTGGCTGTTAGGATAGGCAGGGCACACTGGCCAGGACCCTGGCTCTATGGCACCAAGGAATTTAGGACCAGAGTTTTAAAAGTTAGGAAGAAGGCATGCAGAAATGACAGAAGATCCTGAAAGTACAGCCTGCAATATGAGTATCACCCACAGACTAGGGTGAGACACCACCTTCTCCAAATCAACAGCAAGGGTTGAAGGAGCTGCTGAGATCTGTGGGGAGTTTATATGATTTGAACTAGGTATTTCTGATGCTTCTTCAAACACTTTTACACCCCTTGAGAACAGAGCTCTTCCTTAAGAAACACAGGAACATTAGCTCCTCCTATAAGCCTGTTTCTATAATCATGAAAGTGGGGATTTAGGTTTACTAACCAGACAAAACCAGCCCTGAACTTTATCCATCTGAAATGAGAAATCTAGGAATGATGCTTTGGTCTGACAAAGCCCAGATTCTTAAGGAGAAATAGTGATCAGCCTGGTAGGCGGATTTAGAAACCCGTATCTACTTTGAGTGAAGAAGAGAAGGAGGAATAAACATTAGAAATATTTTATTCATTGTGCCAATATCACTTCCACCCTCGCAAAGGGAAGCTAGTGGGGGTTTAAGGCTTACAAATGTCACTTGTGCTTCCTGTCATGCTAAAAAGAGAGTGAATTACACTACTTAAGAAACAAACAAACAAACATAAAACAGCCCATGTGGATTTATGTGTTCCTCCTAGATGGTAACTTTTAGAAAGGATGAATATGTCTGGACCTTCTGGGATACCACAGTCGCCCGCAAGAAAATGAGAAGAGAACTGCAATTATGGTGGGCCAGATATGGGGGGAGTGGGATGAGAACTGGCAGAGCCAGACCCATCCTAGAGGCAAGAGGGCAGTGGCCCTATCCCCAGGCAAATGCAAGAGCCAGGGAGGATCTTTTCCTGCCTGTTCCCAAACTAAAGCAAGAGGAGGCAGAAGAAATGGGGCCAAACAGAATGCAGAACTCACACTCTCTAAAAATAGGCAGCTTGTGGCCAGAGTCAGTTTCAGCATCTTCCCAGGAGTGGAAGGTGGGACAAGGGCCCTGAACCCTCTGATGCAGAAGCAACCAGGAAGCCTTCAAGCTTGGCTGGCATGAGGGTCCCCAAGTCCCATGAAAGAGGTGGGGGGTGAGGGGCACAGCTTACATCCCTGGGTCTGCTGCCCAAAGGCTGAAAGGTGGACTAGGCAACCGGGCTTGCACATAGTGGGGAAATGTCAGGGGCGTGTTGTGTGCTGCTGTTTTGGGAAAAGGTGAGAAGTGCCTAAGAGCTTGCAGCCCATAGAGAAAAGGCTCTCAAGACCCGGCAGGCTCCCTGACGTTGGCTTCCCATTCAACCTTGCCTGGTGCGAAAGGATACCATTGGGCAAACTTCCTCGAGCCAGGCAGCCTTCCTTCATTACTGATAGGAAGATGGGAAAATTAATAGGGGTAATATGAGCTCATTTCAATAATAATGAGCTCATGAACATGCCAGGTTTTGATCTTTTCTGATGCATGGATTCCTGGCAGGAACTATGGTCCTACGTAGGTAGTTGAAAGAACTGAAAATAGACTTTAAAAAAAAAGGCTCTAAACAACAATAAAAAAGAAACCACCCCAATCACAAACCTAAAACAACAATGAAAAAAAAAAAAAAAGCCTTAAACATTGCTCCACCAGTTAAAAAAAAAAGGAAAAAATTTGGACTGACATAAAACACTTTTTTCCCTTCTTTTAAGTATTGTTTTTAACAGCTTCAAAAGTAATGAATTGTATGTGGCTAAAAATAGATCTGGGGGTAGTGGTTAATGGGGCCTTGTGAATCATTCAGCATAAGGAACTGTCAATATTTTTTTGAGCTGTCAGAAATCCATTTAGTGATTTTCGACAATTCAAAAAAATATTTCTGACCGCTTGATTCAGTTCCTAGTGAATTAGGGAAGAAGAGGAATAAAAGAAATATATCAATCTAAATTATGAACCCAGAGTCTAGCTTCCTGAATTCTGCTCTGTGCTTAAAGGAACAACACGATGTTGAGGTTCAAAAATATTCTCTTCTATTTCTCCCCTTCCTTCCCTTTTCTTTCCTTTCTTCCTTCTTTCCTTCCTCCCTCCTTCCTTCCTTCCCTCCTTCCTTCCTTCCTTCTTTCCTTCCTTCCTTCCTTCTCTCCCTCCCTCCCTTCCTTCTTTCCATCCTGCCTTCCTGCCTTCCTGCCTTCCTGCCTCCCTGCCTTCCTGCCTGCCTTCCACAGGTGAAGTGAAATTATAGATATCCATTCATAAATTACAGATGGAAAGGTATCATGGTCATTTGTCTCTGGTGAGGATATTTGGGGCTGGTTTCAAACAGAAGAATATGTTGAGCTTCTTTTCAGAGAAAGGCTTTCAAATACGGATATCTGGGTGCCAAGAGAATGACTTTGATTCCCCCTGACCACCCCAACATTCATTTGATCCAAATCTAGTCCTTAAATTTATCATTATGTTCTAAAATCTGGAATTCCTTTGGGGTACCCATATGCTTTAAGGAGCTAAAGAAGTGTCAGTTTGCTACAGGATCAGACAAGCATGAATCCAAGATGCACAGGGTCACATCACTACTGTTCAGGGACTTCACAATGTACATGTCTTGTTAGAACAACAGACAGACAGGTGAACAGACAGACAAACAGAAGGCAAGCGCAGAAGGCCAAAGTCACAGTAACTGCCATTTGGTTTGTCTAAAAATGAGTCACAAACACCCAGAAACCATCTCCCTCTTTGGAGAGAAGGTCGCTTTATTTCTATACTGTGGTTAGTGTGATATGATTTTAGTATCCTCTAAGTCAATAAAAGACAAGTTTAAGAAAGCAGATTTGGCTTAGCAAAGCAGTAAGGAATTGTCTTTAGGCATCTTTTGCATAAATTGAAAAACTGAAGAATTTGCAAGTTACCATGTCTCTTTTCATTTTTGTTTTGTAAGTTGATTTTCCCCCCTTCAAGTTCTAGATGGCAAACAGGAGTAGTTCACATGGTGAAAGACCACCCCCTTTTCCATGCCTTCTGTACAGGCATTTTAGTACATTATAATGCAAATTGGAACACAAAAGTATGAGTTCTAAAACTTCTAAACAAAATGGACTTTTATGATTGTCTACATTGCAGATACAGCATTGAGGGTTTTTTCTAATATTTCATTCAAAATTTGCTCATGGATAAGTCTACCCCATTTTTGTTTTAAAAAAATGCACAATTCAGCACTGATGTTTTGGGAAATGAACTATAGGAAGAGGATTCTAAAACTTACCACACAAGTCTGGCCTCTTGATACATCCAGAATTTGCTGTGCTACTTGCAAGTCCATTAAAGGCTGCTAAGCCATCAGAGCTGTAGGCCCTGAGGACCGACAGCATGTTCATCGGCTTGTCCAGGCTCTGCGGCCCCCGCTCCGGCTTTGACAGGCCCGCCAAGGGGTCCTGGGCTTGGAGAAGACCCTGGCTATGCCACTGCTTCTCCGGTGCTTGGGATAAAGGTGAGACCAGTCCTTGGACGGGCTGGGGGGCGCCTGTGGGCTGCAGGCTGTCCCCGCCATCACTGCTGCTGTCTTTGCTGAGGGCAGACAGGGGCTTGGTCATCATTTCCGGTTCGGTTTCAACATCCTCTTCATCGTTGTTCTCTCCCTTGGAGGAGTCCATGTCCTCTGAGGAGGCGATGTCGGAGAGGTCATCAGTAGTGTTCTTACTCGTGGTTTCGGGGATCAGGATGGGGGCATCCTCTTCAGAGTGGGCCTTTCCATCAGGCTCCTTGTTAGGGCAGGAACTGGAGGCCCCCGAGCCAACCATGCCTGGGTAAACACCAAACTGCTTGTAGAAGTCGGATGGGAAGTTACAAAATGCAGGGTCCACGTGGCTGGTCCATGTGCCGCTCTTCTGCTCCCCCAGAGTCTCCTTGACCTGACCTTGGGCCATCTTCTCAGAAGCAGAGTCTAGAGAGCCAATCATACTGGAGAGGCCCATGTCTTTGTTTGATTGTACTGAGGGCAGCAGGGCCATCTTACTCGCCTCCCGGGCTTGGTCTTTGCAGTTGACTGTGACCCCGATAGTGTTATCTTTGCGTTTCGCTTTGCCCAGGTGGTTGGCCTGGAGATGCAGGGCCATGAGCTCCATGGAGGACGTTGTGAAAGCACAAAACAAGCAGCCGTGCCACGCGATGCTGTCCTGCACAGTTACCGAGGAGCCCGGGAGGGAGGCGGCATCTGGCCGCACAGACAAGTCTAGGGGTTCATACTGAGATTTCTCGGACTTCCTCTGGGAGGACTTGCCACTGGGTTTCTCCTCGCCACCATCCACTCCGTGGACTTTCATGGAAGGGGGGTCAGCCAGGGCTTTGTCCTTCACGTCCTTCTCCTTCTTCAAGGAACTGAGGACAAAGCTGTCCATGAAAGCTTGCAAGGACCCTTGGAAATTCACACCGTTGCTCACGATGCTTTGATAAGCTCTTCCAATCTCAGAGAAGTGGGTGCTTTTGGCAGGAAGGTCGGCGCCTTTCAGAGCATCTGAGGGGATCTCTGAAGACATGCCGGTGGCCTGCCCCGAATGATCTCCGGACGAGAGCACACCTGATGTCCACTGCTGAGATGCAGGGCCTCCTCTGAAGTCGATTCCAGGGAGACCCTTGAAGGCGCCCCTCAGGATGTCTGGCCTGATGAACAGAGAAGCTTTGCTTGACATCTCGTCCTTGTGGTCCTGATTCGGGGGCTGCCCAGACAGCGGCCCAGCCCCATTCTGCCGCTCCCGGTGGTGTCGCTCTAAGTGGTATTTTAAGGACGCTGACTGCGTGCCGGCATAGTCACAGTGCGGACACTTGTAGGGTTTCTCACCTGCAAGATTTTGATATAAGAAAAAAAAGAGGCGTTTATCTCATTTTGGTGTGCTGAACGAGGCTGGAAGGATCAACATTTGTTCTTTGAAACAAAGCAGCTCAAACTAATAATTAGAGAACAACTGTTTTTTAATAGAAGAATAATTCGTACTCTTAAGCTTTTTTAATGATTTTGTACCATTTGGGACTATTCAGGAATGACATACTATCTACACACAATTAGCTATCTTTTTCTTTATCTAACATGTGAAAACGGCTGTAGATTTAAAAGCTATGATTATGAAAATTAAGCATAATAATTTCAGCCACAGTGATCATTAAAAGTAGAAGTTTAAAAAGAGAAAGTATGTAACAAATGGGTGGTTGCAATATTTTGTGTATACAATAGCTCTAAAATTTGTTTAAATTATACACATGGAAACCATTTTTAAACCTAAAAATTTTATGGCACTGTTACGCAAGACTGAAATGAATGATTTAAGTCTTGCTCTGCAGTAAATCATGGATATAATTAGCAAATGGCATACTGCACAAGTAATTTATCATTATTTGGAGGGCACCATTCCAGACGGGCTCAGATATCTGCAGACCTACTGCACTGTTTCTAAATAAAGAACTATAAATACAGATTCTATAAAATATTAATACCATTACAGTGCATTATGATTGCAGCATGTAAAGACATATAGTTAAGATAAAAAGCAGTCAATAAAACTTAAAAGAAAATGAGTAATAAAAAGGCACAAAATATATTTAGTTTCTGTATTTGAAATTAACATTATCTACTGGTCTTTGTAGTGCCTTAAATTTGTACTAATGGCAAACCTAATGCTCCAGTAGTAAAATGTGTAATTTACCTATAATAAGCGCTTTCTAGAGAATAAAAATAGCTTTAAAGAGTGTTTTAAAACATATAAGATAATTTTCATGAATTAAATATTTATTTAAATTCAACACCCCCAACTTCTATTGTTCTTTTCACAATGTGGAAAGATACCAGAAGAGACAACTTACATTTGCTGGCATTGGGGGATAGAGAAGGGAAAGAAGGTAAATGACTGCAGGTTTAAATATATTTCAAGAATTTGTTAGCAATCCCAGGGCTTTTCTAGACTTTGCAATCAAAAGGCTCTCTGGAAGGAATGGGGACTGTGACGGTCCCCACTCTCTTATTCACAATGCTGCCCTGTCGATATCCACAATTATTTCTTCTAGGAACCTCAACTATTCCCCCTCCTCTTCCTCTGCTCTATTATAAAATAGACTGATCTAAAAAGTAACAGCAAATCATCAGTGAATGGTGTCTTCTGAAGACATTTCACTGTGTCTAATCTCAGCAGAAGGCATGAGTCCCAGTCCTCCAGGCACAGGGCATTTGGGGGCATGGACTTTGTGAGCAAGAGGGCCACCACCCTGGCTCTGAGCAGGAGATGACACGTCATGTCTGAGCAGGAGATGCCAGAGCCATGGACACCCTGCCTGCCTTATCAGAACAAGGGTGTCAGGTGCTATGAGCCGCTGAGATCTCTCCTGGACACTTTCAGAGGTGGCCCTTAAGTCTAGGAAGGGAACCCAGCAGCGAATCCGTTTCTCTAAACATAAAGGTCACAGTCATCTCTAACTAGACCAATGACATGGATCTAGGAGGAAGTCTCTATCCCTTTTGGGGTAAAGGTCCAGAGAATTTCAGGCAGTATTTTCCCACTTCTTGGAGTCAGTCCCGGGTTAGACTCAGACTCATTGAGCTACTGCTTTTTGGACATCGCATCGCAGGCCAGGCTGGGATGGGGCACTTCTGGGCAGCAGGATGTCACAGCTGATTTAGCTTACCTGGAAGCCCAGTGATCAGGTGTGACAGGCAGTACCTGAAACTTAGAGGGGTTGTGATGGGACCCGCAGCAGGCAGGCCTACCTAGAAACTCAGGATCCTGGGCTACGGGTGAGAGCAAACCCTGTGGGAGGGCCGGGCAATGAAAGCCTGCAGAGGTGAGGTCTGCAGGTGCCGGGTGGGACTCAGGCTGTGTTTAGAAATGCACCTGGAAATGATTACGTGCATCTGGCAGGCAAAGGGGCCGTAGAGAAAGCACGGGCATTCATTAGCGGGAGTTAAAGAGGGGGAATGTGGACTTTCCTCTCAAGCCTGGGGATGTGGAGAGCTGCCTTTCTGGGTGGGGATGCACAGAGGATGTGCATGTCTATTTCCAACCGATACAGGTTTGAAAGGCACATGGGAGACTGAGCGTGGTGGCTCACATCTGTAATCCCAGCACTTTGGGAGGCCGAGGCAGACAGATCACGAGGTCAGGAGATCCAGACCATCCTGGCTAACATGGCGAAACCCCGTCTCTACTAAAAATACAAAAAATTAGCTGGGTGTGGTGGTGGGCACCTGTAGTCCCAGCTGCTCGGGAGGCTGAG